GGTCCATCAGGGTTGGCCCAATCTTGTCCAGACACAGGGACAACCCTACATACCTGGAACGTCTCTGTGATACAGGGCTCTTGACCTTGGCTAAAAGCTGCCAGAGAACTCATAAATAGGACAAGTACCTTCACTTCAAAGAATGCTGATCCAAACGTAGGCCACTTGAAGATAATCTTTAGGAAGGCAAGCTTGGCTTCTTCTCTTGTTTTGCCCGCGTGCTTATTGTAGTACGCCACGATAGACTGCAACAGAGAACACAACAGAGCTGGAGGGTTTGCACTACCTAGTACCAGGGGTGTTTGCATGGAAGGAACATCAGTCCCACAAAGATGGGGGTCAGTTCTAGTCTCTGCTCCAATAAACACTTCACAAAAGTGCTGGTTGGTCACTGGAGCAGGGCCTGGAACCAAGGCAGGTCCTTCTTTCTTAGTTAAGCTGTGCTGATGACTCCATTAAAGGGATTATAAATTTTTATCCTCCAATTTATACAGCAGAGGAGATTGAAAAACCTTCAACCCAGAGAAGCTGATAGCTCACTGGTTAGGCACATGGCTGAGTTCAAGTCTAGGGGAACAGAAAGGACTTATAAGACTATTTATTGGCAATGAGACACCTATGTTATTTTATGGCTCTAGACCTGTCTGTACCTGTGCCACTGCTCTCCCTGGGTAAAGCAGGGAGAACTACCCCTCTACTCAGTAGTCTGCCTTAAACAACAGACCTTTACATGAGACCATCTCCCAGCATGTGTCTGTAAGGCTCAAGAAGGACCATGGGTCACTCATTCTGGCAGCCCAACTTCAATGTTGAATGTTAGACAAGTCACTCAAGAGGCTGGGCTCCCCGCTGCCATGCCTGACATATGACTCAAGCTGAAGTTTTACCCTTTTCCAGTCATCTGGAGAGAGCTGCCGGACAAGGTCCTGAGGCACCAACTCCTTCAGGAGCTTGGGGATGCTGGGGAAATAGGACTTGTCATCCTCAAACTTCACCCGGTAGATGAGAGCTGCCAGCTGCAAGACCTCTTCCCGTGTGCACTTGTGGTAGCCACGCAGATACTTTGGTAACTCCTGCATGGGGGAAAGAACAATTCAGGGATAGAGGGAATGACCGCAGACCTTCATCTTTAGATGTAAATGGAGTTTATGAAGCTCTCCAGTCCCTAGCTAAGATGCTCTGCCCTGGAAAGCATGGTTGCAGTTGTGCCAAGTGTGGTGGAGAGGCATCTGCTCAGATAAGACCACATGAGATGTTTAAAGATCCTCTCTGGTCTAAACCAGTTTCCTGTTATGTGGAACAGGGAGGTTCTTGTGTTAGTTATCAAGTGTGTGGACCTATGTTCTTGTTCACCTTCCCTCATCCCAGGAAAGCCAACCCTAGTAATGGCCACTTGGAATTGGTAATCTGTTAGGGTTTTTTGTTGGTTTGGGTTTTTTGTTTGTTTGTTTGTTTTAAATTTAAAAAATCTATTCCCTTGTTACCAAAATTGTTGGAAAATATGTCAAGTGACTAACTGAATCATTAGGGGATACAGTCATATTGGGATCACCACTTTATCCAGGCAAGAACACAGGGAGTGTATGTGTAGAGCACTTAGAGACATGAAGGTGTCTCTTCCATCCCAGCAGAAACAAGAGCAGAACAACTGTAACTTCTTACCTAACTGCTGGGACTGTCACAACTCATCTCTATGAACAGAGGTGGCTGAAAACCCTCAGGATGCTTCTGAATTCAACCTCTCATATTTCTTGCTTCTTATCCAAAACCAGCTGTCTCAAATCCCAGCTGAGCTGGTTACCCTAAAGTGCATGAAGGCTGCTTCTCACCATGCAACCCCAACAGTCCTCTTCATAGTGCTCTGTTTAAGGCAGGACTTTTTTGTTTAATGCAAGACTTTGTCCATCTACAGATGGACAAAGTCTTTCTAACCTTTTCCTAAACCCTCCCAATTCTCCACTGTTATTGCAGGCTTCCAGAGTACCTGGTAATAGTGGAAGATTGAGTCTGCCATCGAGTCCTTTCCAGGCGTTGTGTTGGTCCATAGCTTCTTCATGAAGAACACTTGGTAGGTGAGGGAAGGCACTATACCTGTGCAAAGGAAGCAGGGAGTGGATATGGAAAAGCAATGCTATGAGCATCAGCTGGCAATCAATCGCTGTCCCTACAAGCCAGTGGAGCCCATGTGCTGTTACAACTTCCAGGGACAGGGGCAATAGCAAGACTCTGACCTTGCAGAGAAAACCACATTTTC